TGCTGCCCTTGCATGAGCTGGAGCAGCTGCTGTGCCAGGCAGCCCTGGCGCTACCGCTCTGTCCTCTCACCTGGCGCCCGTGGCAGGAACCGTGCAGCCCCCTGCTGCTGCTTAGCATCATTCCCTGCGTGGCCAGACCCCTGCTTCCCCCAGCCGTGGGGCCAACACTGCATTGATTAGCCCCTGCGGCTGTACCATTTATAGTCACTTGTACCGTTTGCCACTAAAATGGGGGCGTGCTAGGCTCTGTGCATCTGCCGACGAGAGGGAGGTCATGCAGTCACGGCAGCCTTCTCAAAGCCTGGGAGAAGGGATGGATTAGCCCCATTTTCCAGGTGAGCGACTGAGGCCTGAAGAGAGGAAGTAACTTGCCCAGGGCCACCCAGGAAGGCAGTAGCAGAGCTGGGATACTCACCCAGCCTGCCGAAGGGCCAGCTCAACACCTAGCCCCCCAGCTCCCTTCCTGTAAGGAGCTGCCTTGTTAGCAGCCCACAGCTTGCCCTGCACCCCTCTTCTCCCCGTGCTGAACGGCCCCCATGCTAATCCCCCGCCACGAGGCCAAGCCCCACTGCCCGACATCAGCGCTGCATCGGCTGCTGGTTACGTACTTGTATTTACTGGGGAGAAATTACAGCTGGCTCCTCACCAGAGAACCAGTGTCTTAACTCAGTAGCACTCACGGGGGAGCAGGGCCAGGCCACTGCGTGACCATGGCAGCACCTGCCCCCTGCCACCGTCCCTCTTTGCCCTGGGATCCAGCTGGCGCTAGGAGGTCAGATCGGTCCCCGTCTCTCCATCCAATGCCGAGCTGGTCAGAGTCTTTATGCCCCCCATCTGCGCCCATGGAAGATACAGAATGGAAGCGAGCCGTCTTGTTTCCCTTCCACCCCGGCTGGGTGCGGGGGCATCGTAGCCCTGCCCCTTGCAGACGGTGCGAGGGGGCCCCAAGGCCGAGCCGGGAACAACTAGGAGGTCAGATCGGTCCCCGTCTCTCCATCCAATGCCGAGCTGGTCAGAGTCTTTATGCCCCCCATCTGCGCCCATGGAAGATACAGAATGGAAGCGAGCCGTCTTGTTTCCCTTCCACCCCGGCTGGGTGCGGGGGCATCGTAGCCCTGCCCCTTGCAGACGGTGCGAGGGGGCCCCAAGGCCGAGCCGGGAACAACAGCAGGAGGTGCTCGGGCTGCCCTGCAGCTGCGTGGTGGGCCGGGGCCAGATCCTGGGGTGCGGCGAGTTCGCAGGCCTCAGCGGTGGTTGGCAAGGCTGCCCCGCGGGAGGGGAGGGGTGGCGGGCAAGGCACAGCTCGGTCCGGGCTGCTCCACGCCAGCGTGCCGGGCGCCCCCCACGCACACGCTTCAGTACACCACTTCGTAGACCGTGGCCTTCTTGTCGCCTGAGCCCGTGACAATGAACTTGTCGTTGAGCGAGATGTCGCAGCTGAGCACCGAGGAGGACTCTTTGGACTGAGAGGGGAGGGGCGGTTAGGAGAAGGACCCTGCCCCCATGGGGATAGCAAGGGGGGGAGAGCAGGGCCAGACAGGCCAGTGGCAAAGGAGACAAGTTAAACTCGGAGCCCAGCCCTTCGGAGGAGCCGAAGGCCCGTCGGCCCCAGGGAAAGCCGG